CACATCAGAAGCCTTCAGCAGAGACCAGCTGACAGCACTCCTGCTTTGGGGGAGACGAGCTCTTGGAAAGGCCCTTAGCCGTTAGTGTGTTGTAGTCACTGAGCTGGTGCGCCCAGGATTGCCATCTGCTGCTAAAGGGTAGTGGCCTACCCCCGTGCATCTGCTTTTTTCACCAGGAACTGAAGTGCTGTTCTTAAATAAGCACTTGCAATTTTATCTTTTTATTGAGTGTTTAGAAGAATTTGCATCAATTTTCAACCTCAGATACTGCTGGAAAATATCTATGTTATTTTTACTCCATCAGATTTTAAAAAACAACACGTGGAGATGAGTGGTAGTGATGGTTATACAATATGAATGTACTTAATGCCACAGAGCTATACACTTAAAAATAGTTAAAATGGTCAATTTCATGTTCTGTGTATTTTACCACAATTAAAAAAATAAAAACTACAAACAATAACAAAACAGCATTTGTATTAAAGGTCTAGTAACTCCAGCTAAAGAGAAAAGGAAGGAAGGAAATAGTCTCTAATTGTTTACAGGCCCTCCCAGAATCACTGTGGCTTTGGGGGCCCTGACTTGTTTACAGGGTACTAGAGACACATTCAGAAGGATAAGCTTTGTTTACTCAGAAGGGCTCACTGAGACGGACTGATGAGCGTGCTAAGTTACCGTTAAAAGCTACAGGGACTTTTGAGAAAGATGCTGAAGGACCAGTTTGTGTGAAGGCACCAAGAGAAGTTAGTTCACACTGTTGTCCACGTTACCTGGCTTCTGGGGGCTTTGAGGGGGAGAGGGGTGGAGCTCAGCCCCAGTGACACTACTTTAAATCAGACTGTAAATATTAACATCTTTTAGGACTGGAAGGAGTTTAGGAACCATATAGTTCTAACCCCCCTTATTCATTCATGTGGTCCAATAATTGTCTGCTGAATTCCTTCTTTGTACCTAATATCTAGCAGGATGCATGATGGTGGCTGCTGCAGATACCATAGTAAGCAAAACAGTCCTGCCCTAATGTAGCTTACAGTATAATAGGGAAAACAGACATTAATCAAATAGCCACATAAATACGTAATTACACATTGTGATAAGTGCTGTCTTTAGAGGAAAAATACAGGCACTCTGAGACATGGATTAGGAGGGTAGAATCCAGTCTGGGAAGGTCAGGAAAGGCTGGAATCTCAGGTGAAGGGCCTTCTGGGCAAGGGCTCTGGAGCAGAAGCCTTGTGGCTGGTGGGGAACTGAGAGTAGGCTAGTGTGAGGGTGGGTGTTTTCTGAAATGAGGAGAGGGTCAAACATCTCACTTCTGCAGAGCCAGGAATAGAAGGAGGTCATCTGATGTTCTAGTTTTGTCTTTCTTTTCACTTCGAGAGAGACTTACTCAGAGGCCTGGACCTATGACATTTGCACAGGTAGAATTATTTCCATCCTAAGGGAGGGTCTGCCCCACCTCCACATGGCTTCCAGTCTCCCTGAGCTCAGGGTCTGTTGCTCCCCACATCTCCAGGTCTTCACCAAGGCCCCTATTTGGTGTCTCCATGAACTGAAGCAAGGTCATTTCTACTGTCCCTCTTTCTAGACCAGTACTTCTCTTCACTGAACATAGTTTGTGAAAATCAGTTATGATTGATAAAATCATGTGCATGATCAGAAACTAGCTCAAGATAAAGTTGGATGCACAGTATGATTACAATCATTTAAAAGCTGCCATGCATTAAAAAAGACCAGAAGGAAATAAAATAACAGTGATGTCTAGTTGGTGAAATCTTAAATGTCTTTTTTTTCCTTTTCCCTTCATTTTCTAGGTGCCATTTAGTGAACTTTTATTACTCTTAAAAGAGAAAGTAATATTGACATAATAATATCAAGAGGATGTCAGATCTCTTCCTTACTACTCAAATCTTTAATTTTTCTTTAATGTGAAGGACATACTTATAAGTGCTTTTAGGAATGTTTTGAATATGAGCTACAGAGAAGCACTGGGTACGGGTGATAGCATGGCAAGGCACAGCACTTCACAAAGCATTTCTATAGGATAGAGATTTTATTAAAGACAAAATTCTCTTGTCACTGAGTCTGGTGGATGCTGACTCAAACGAGGTTAAGTGAGTTTCTCCACCTTCAGATTTCCCTGAAGCAGTCACAGCCTAGTGGGTTTGTGAGCCCAGGAAGGGGAGAGAGTGTGCAGCCTTCCCCAAACTACTGGGAAGGTTTCTTTGCCCAGGTCCTTGCAGGCTCAGTGCTCTCTGGAACATGCTTTGGAAAATGCTGGTGTGGGGAAAGAACAAAGCTGGTGGTCCCCAGGGCTCTAGATGGATCCGGTGAGGCATAACTGTCTTTAGTACCCACTCATCAAGTCACACTGCTCTGGACAGTTTCTCCTATAAAATAAGAGGATTAGATGAAATGAATCTCTGGCTCTAAAATGGGCCAGCTATGAAAAATGAGTGAATATGCTTACAGTTTTGTAACAATGAAAGGCAAACTCCACAAATGTTCAAACTGAGAATTTTCCAACAATCAAGCTCTGTCTGTCCCTAAAGCAGCAAGCGATGCCAGTTTTTTATTCTGCAGTCTATTTTAGAAAACAAAAAACATTTGGTACAATTCAACAGGTCTGCATTGCAGCATTGCAGGTAGCACTGCAGTCCACTGTATACAGAAGGCGAAATGCCCTCAATTCTGTGTTAAAGGACAGACTGGGATTTCAAAATTTGTTGATACTGACAGGCATATATAGAATAGATAAACAAGATTATACTGTATAGCACAAGGAAATAGATACAAGATCTTGTAGCTCACAGCAAAAAAAAAAATGTGACAGTGAATATACGTATGCTCATGTATAACTGAAAAATTGTGCTCTACACTGGAATTTGACACAACATTGTAAAATGACTATAACTCAATTAAAAATATTTTTAAAAATAATAGAACAAAAATAAAGTACTTTGCCTACCCCAACCCCTCAGGCACTTGCCAAATGAAATGTAGTAAAACTTTTTGTTTCTCAACCACCTCACTGTGGAAGGCCTTAGAGAAAAAGGCTGATAGGAGCAAGGCTAGTTCCTTTGCTCTACTGGAAGAGTATCTTTCATGTCAACATAGTAGACAGAATAGAACATCCTGACTCCAGATAAAGGCTGCTTGCTGCTGCTGCCTCGCTGGCTCTTATCATATGCCTCTGTGGTTGGAACATTTTTTGGCAGGAAGACTTCAGGGGCCTGCTTGGGAACGGCAGGGTTTTCTGCTGTGTAACCCCTGAGGCTCTTTCTTCACCCTGGGAAGTTTCCCACGGGTTCAAAGGCCTAGGACCTCAGTTAGACCCCTCTCTGCCCACAGCGGTCACCACTTAAGCCAGTTAATGGTTTGCTCTCACTGCAAGCTGAGTTGCGGAGGAGTCTGTCCAGCTTCCTTCCTTGCTGTGCCCAAAGCAAGCATGCAGGCCGTTTTCTTTATAAGGGCAGAGTGCCAGTCACCACAGGGAAGCCCCGCTGTGCGGAAGGAGGCAGAGAATACTACGGAGATTTCGGAAGGTCAGGGGTCCTTACGCAGCGGCACAGCAATCCTCCCTGGTGGTGAAATGGAAGAAAGCTTGACACCGCGATAAGTTCCACGTTTGGCTATCCCCGTTGGTCCAGGGAGGTCGTGGAATTCTAGTTCTTGTCTTTTCTCCCTGGAGGTTCTCAGGTTTTCCCCAGGTGACAAGAGAGCATGAGGGGATATCTGTAGATCAACCGTGGAATTAAGCGTTAGCAAGTGGCAGACCACAGTCTGAGGGCCACAGCTCAGAAGAGCAGCAATGTGTGACTCACACTTGAGAAGCACCTCCTTGGTTTCTCTTCTTTTTTCCCCTGGTTTACTTTTCTCCATATTTCTTTCTAGTGGAGGGATGACAAATAAAAAGTACCTGAGCCATCATATTCCCCTCACAAATGTGTGGCAGACATTATTATTCAATTATGGCATATTTTTTCCCCCGGATTAAACCCAAGATGAATATTAATTGATCAAAATGGGCAGTCAACAGTCTACTCCTGGGCAAATACCTGAAAGAAATGGGAACTTAAGCCCACAGAATGACCACGAATGTACCTGACAGCTGTATTACCAATAGTCCCAAATTGGAAACAATCCAAATGTCCATCAACAGTAGAATGGGTAAAAATATACTGCATGCATATAATGAAATGCTCTACAGCAATGACAAGGGACAAACTACTGATGCATACAGCCTGAATGTATCGTAGAGTCTTAGAGACACACTGTAGAGTGAAAGAAGTTAGACATCAAGGAGGCATCAAGGATGGATGTGTGAGCCCACTTATTGCAGTTAAAAACAGGCAGAACTCATCCATGGTGATAGATGCTGAGACTGGCTACCTGTGGGAGAAACTGGCTGAGAGGGGACCAGGAAACCTTCTGGGGACTAGAAAATGTTATGTATCTTGATCTTGGTGGTGGTTTATATGGATGTGCACATGTCTCTCTTCCCAAGCCCAGGCGACATACCAGACCAATTAAATCACATATCTGGCAGTGAGACACTGGCATCAGTAGCCTTTCAGACTCTTCAGATGCTTCTAATATGATTCCTGTGTGCACACGTTTGGGAACTGCTAGATTAATGGCTTTCTTTTCCCTCCATATTGTCTCAGCAACTTCAGTATATGGTTCTGAATCTTGCTGCTACTTAGAATTAGCTGAGAAGCTTCTAATAATATGGATGCTCAGGCCCTACCTTGGGCAAGGCCTGGGTATTTCTAGTGTGCAGCCAACACTGAGAGCCACTGTTCTAGAGGAACTGGTGTCTCTGTAGAGCTTGTGATCAGCACAACTCCAGGCACTCGTTCCACCCCAACCCACTCCCACCATGAATTAAAATACTTTCTCCTTGTGTTTTTGAAAACTATCTTTGTCTCCATTCTGTTGCAAGCTGAAGATAGAGAAGAATGATGTAATGCTGATAAGTTCTTGGTTTCTTTTGCCCTCAGTTTGGGATTGTGCTGGATGCGGGCTCTTCTCACACGAGTTTGTACATCTATCAATGGCCAGCAGAAAAGGAGAATGACACAGGGATGGTGAGTCAGGTAGAAGAGTGCAAGGTACAAGGTAAGATGAAGAAAAAGGGAGGGGGAGACAGTGGGCATGAGACCATGAGAGGCATGTGGCAAGTGAAACACACAAGAAAAAGGAAGTCAAGTGAGAACATAGCAGACCAGCTATTGTTGTTATTTTATTATCATTATAAAAATAGTATTGAAATCAGTCCTTAATGATCAAGCCTTTGAAAAATAAACAAACTAAAGTAATTGAGTAATGGTAGCTCCCATCAACAGGACACTTCTGTGTGCCATGCACACATTTCATCCTCACAATCTCCCTTTGAGGAGTTTATTATGATGCTCATTAAAAAAATAATATTAAGACACTGAGGTTGAGAGAAGTTATGCCACTAGTTTAAGGTTACTTGAGCTAGTAAGTGATAGAACTGGGGTTCAAACTGAGATCTGCCCAAATTTCACTAATTTCACCTTATCAGTCATATCATTAGCAAATATTTTCTCCCATTTAGTAGGGTATTTTTTTTCCTTTCATTTTGTCGATGGGTTCCTTTGCTATGTGAAGATCTGCCCAATTTTAAATCCATGTGTTAGCCAGTGGTTCTCAAATTTGAACCTGCATCAGAACCACCGGGAGGGTTTGTTAAAGCTCCCACTCCAGAGTTTCTGGTTCAGTAGGTCTGGGATGAGGTCTGAGAATTTGCATTTCTAACAAGTTCCCAGGTGATGTTGATGCTGCAAGTCCAGAGAATTGCTGCTCTTAATCTTTGTCTTCTAATCTATGACTTGGAAGAAATTTTCAAAAGCCTTTAGCTTCTGTCTAGGCAGGCAAATCATAGACTCGTAGGGCTGGGAAAAGGACCTTATGGATCATTGAAATCTTGTTTTACAGAAAAGGAAGCAAAAACCTGAAAGACTAGTGACTTGCAAGTAGGAACAGAACCATGACAAGAATCTAGGCTTCCATGTTAAAAAAAAAAAAGAATCTAGGCTTCCTAATTGCACTCCAGGCTTCTTGCTACTCTGAGTTGCTGCCATACATACTGCTTTTTTCCTACTTAGTTTTCTTTTAAGGTCACAAGACAAGTTAGAGTTGTTGATAACAGCTCTTTCCACTCCCTCCCATACAATGCTCCAGCATGCACTGAATGTTACTACACTGCATCGTCATTTTCCTGACCTTTATCTCTCTTGGCCTTTTGAACTAGGGACTGACTATTTATTTTCAGTCGGACAGGTAACCTAGAGCCCAGAAGATAATTTACTTTTAGTTTGGTGGCTTGTGGAGTCCACTAATTTTTAAAGTTTTTCAAGAAAGCAGAAAATAGGAGATGTTTCCAAGAGAGGAAGTCATTCTACCCAGGCCTGATGCCCTCAGACTTTGGCCCTGTCAGTTCTGAGAGGGAACTTCAAACAGTTCTTAAAACCCAAATCCCGTACTTTATTGGCTTCTCTTTAATTAACTGCCTTCCATTCTTAAACTCTTGTTGTGTCAACCTAGCAGATATCTTCTGAGACTCACCCTGTGTGTGTTTGGCATAATAAATGCAGTAATTTTCCCTCTCAAAAGAGAGAGAGAGTGCTGTAATCAAATATTTAGATAGAAAGATGAGTCGAGAGCCACCAGTTATTGAAGGCCAGACTTTTTGAATTGAAACAGTTAGCTGATTCAATAAAAAATGTTAAAAAAAAAAAGAAACAGCTGATAACTCAGAGCTGATTTTGTCATTATGGTTAAATAAATAAATAAAATCTGGTGAATGATATAGATAAACTATCTGGATAATTATTATTAAAGTAAATCCTCACTATAAAGCAATGAAAGTGTAGATGTTTATCTGAAAGTGAGCCCAAAATTGTTAAGTGTTAACTTCTAAAGCTTAAGGAATCTTGGCTCTAATCCTCTCCATAGAAACAGTTAAAACTGCTTTAAAACTGGACAGTTTTACTAGGCAGACAGGGTATCAGAGTGGAAAAATTGCTGAGGAGACATGGATTCTACTCCTGTTTTCTTCTAACAAAGGAAGAAACTTCAGAGATTTTAGAGGACTGGTCGTGATTACATAGCTAGTTAGGGGCAGTTCTTGTCTATTCAGTAAAAGCCCCTGTGCCTGGTGCATGTTTTAATTTTTGTTCTAAATGTTATCGTTCTCCTTTTAGATCTTCTAGGAATTACTGTTGTTTATTGCAACTTTGTGGAAGAAACATCAAAAAGCAGCTGTATAGAACAGTTATCTATTAAATTCCCATTAAAATCTGAGAGAGTTAGGAAGGTTATGCAACTGAATGTGAAAATTGCGCCATCCAGTGGTAAAATTATTGAACAGCAGACAGACCTAGCTTGAGGTCTTGAAAATAAATCCTACCAAGAACTAGATTCAGAGTTCGCCTCTTAAGTACAAAAACCTGATAGATATCACAAAAAGGAACTGTCTCCTTGCATTTTCTCAGAAAACATCAGTATTTTTCTTTAATAATGTGAAGATACGTCCTATATTTTTGAAAAAGTTTTCATCTGTTTCTACATCTTTCCCCAGGTCCCGGAATTGCAAACCATGTTCAAAAATTAAGTGAAATAGACGTTTATCTGGCTGCATGCATGGAAAGAGCCAAGGTAGTGATTCCAGCACCCCAGCATACAGAGACACCTGTTTACCTGGGAGCCACGGCAGGCATGCGGTTGCTCAGGTATAACAGCCTGTGGGGACCAAGAATGGCTGGCAGTGAGGGTGGGCAGTGCAAGAGCCTCTGAAGTTGTGGGTGAGGGCCACACTTCTCCAACACCCCAATTTTAACCATGCTAAATATCCACACCGGAAAAAGAAAATCACAGTAAGTGGGTAAAATCCCAAACTCTTAGTGTGTGTAATGGTGGGAGTTTATGGGAAAAAAAAGCCTTCTTGCTCATCTCCCTACGGGGAATTTAAGGGGCTGATGACCCAAAGAGAGAAAGACTGAGCCTATATACTCTGGGATTTGGGGCTACAACTTTAGCCATTCAATATCTGGGAGGAGGAAGGCGAGAGGAGACTTACAGATATCCCAAGACACAAATCATCACCAAGCAGCACATCTTTACTGGCCACCATTTACTCCTGCGGGCATTATTTGTTCATTCATTCATTCAGTGTGTATTGACTGTGGACACTCTCCCAGGACATAGAAGTAGGTGGCTTATCTCCTAAGATCAGAGTTTTGATACAGGGTGACCAGTTCTTAAGTAGAGGAGGACTCAGAGCTGCTATGGAGCACACTTGGCCTGACAAGAATGAGAGGAGGTCAAGAAGATTCACCAGAGGAGAGGATACATGAGCCAAATCATGAAGGACTTGTTGGGGGCAGGGGAAGAGCATCCCAGGCAGAGCAGACACCATGCACCTGTAACCTGTGTTTGTTTGGCACCTGTTACGTGTCAGGCACGGTCGCTGCTTTCCTGGTGTTCTAATAGGTGTGCAAAGGAGGGATGTGTGAGAGAGCAGGGCATGCTCAGAGGACTATAAATGGTTCTGCATAGATGGAATGTTGGTGCATGTAGTAAATACTAATAACGACAGTAACAGTGGTGGCAACTTATATTTGTTGAGCCCGTACTATGTTCTTAGCACGGTACTTTAATTTAACCACCACAACTGTACAAAGCAAGAGGCATGATTAACTATTACAAATCAGATTAAGGAAGCTGCGGTGTACAAATGTCAACTAGCTAACCAAAGGTCAGACACCTGGTAAGTAGTAGAGCCAGGATTCTGAGTGGGATTCTGAGAAGGCAAGGTTCAGATCACAAAGTGCCTTGTGGGCCATGTGAAGGAATTGGAGTTAATCTGGGAGATAATGGGAAGCCATTAAAGGATGTAACACAACTGGGGACACTGGTAGAGAGGTGGATTGGAGGGGGGAAAAACTAGGGATGAGGAGGCCAATCGGTGGAGTATGGAAGCTATTCAAATGAGAGATGACAGAGGTCTAATGCCAGTTGGAAGGCAGCATTTTCCGACCCAGAGACTCTCAGTATCGTATTGCCTAGATCTTGGAAGCAATTGTATTGCATCTTCGTTATGACAACCCTGGAATGAAGGCACAATATGAGAAAAATTTTTTTCCTAGTCTGCTACCAAATGAGGTTGGGTATCTGTCCCAGGATGTTTGCCATCTGGTGTCTACTAGAACCCTAATTTAAAACCTCCAGCAGAGCCTGGCCATGTAAACAGCTTGAAGCCACCAGCAATGGCTAATTGAGCACACATTGGCTCTAGGCTTGGTGATCAAACATCAAACAATATCCCCCTACCACCACCACAGTAATTAAAATCACTTTGATAACTTCTTGGAGCCAGGGAACAATGAAAATGGTATTTTAGGACAATCACTGTATGTAGGGATTGGAAGGATATGGCCTTGGACAGGGGCCAAAAGAGTAGTTCTGCCTCACACAAAAGGCGGGCTCCTCAGACACGCCACGCGTGGGGATCTCCATCCTTCCATTTGTTCCAGTGAGTTTATGGTCCATTTCCTGGGAGAACTGGCTGGAAGCTCTGGCTGCAGTGGGTAGTTGTGATTATTCAAACAAAACCAGTAACCTCAGCTCTTTGTGCAGGATGAAGAATGGATATTTGGCAAGCAAGATCCTGGCTGTGGTGACAAGCAGCATCAGCAACTACCCCTTTGACTTCCAGGGCGCCAGAATCATCACTGGCCAAGAGGAGGGCGCCTATGGCTGGATCACTACCAACTATCTGCTGGGCAGATTCACTCAGGTGATAGTCTCACAGCGCCCATGGAGGCGGCTCCCTGGGGGCCAATGCGACTGCTGTCTCAGGCAGTACTTGGATCACTCGGCAGAATGAATGATGAATAAATGAACAAATTAATTTACCCTCACATTTGCAAGGGTCACTAGAGCTATAATTCTCTTACAAGAAATCTTACTATTGGAGAATAAGGAAGCCATATCTTTACAGAGATACAGAAAAAAATTAAAAGTCTATCATTAAAAATAAGATTAGCTAATATTGGCCTCCTGCTGTGTGTCTTGTGCTGTGCTAAGCACTTTTCATGTACAGTTTGATTTACTCTCCAGAATAAGCATATGAGGTGTTTTCTCATTTTAGAGCCTCAAATTGAGGCCTAGAGAAGGTTAATTATTCTGCTAAAGGCCACATGGCTAATGAGCAAATGAGTGGGGATTTGCATTGAGTCTTTCCAGCCTTGGACCTTGTGTTGTGAACTACTCCTAAGCTGCTGCAGTCTGAGCTATGTCTTTGAAGCCCCTCTTTTCTTGCTGTTGGTCTGATGCAGACTCAGGAACCTCTCGTGAGCTTTGTGTCACCCTTATGCTCCTGCTCCTCTGCCTTAGAAGGTCCCTGAGTCCAAGGAATAGTACAGAAAGGGGGATGTCCAGAGACTTCTACCACTGGTGACTGTACTGTCTTTCAGAAATCGAGTTGGTTTAACCTAAAGCCAACTGGAGGTGAACCTCAGGAAACCTATGGAGCTTTAGACCTTGGGGGAGCCTCTACACAAATCACTTTTGTGCCCAAAGACAAAACGATGGAGTCACCAGACGACACTCTGCACTTCCGCCTCTATGGCAGGAACTACAGTGTATACACACACAGCTTCTTGTGCTATGGGAAGGATCAAGCTCTTTTGCAGAAACTAGCCAAGGACGTTAGGGTAAGTATAACTCGATCCAGACCACCCTTCCCACATCTGTGCCACCAGCCCCCACATCCTGTTTTTCTCTTCTTACTTTGGTAATTGGTCTGAAGTTGGGTACTGTACTTTCTGAACCTTCTCAGGCAGGATATCTGACTACATCTGGTCAACCCCTATGAATTGTCCCATCCAGACACCACCTCCTATGTTTGTTTACTGAACTATCTCCAAGGACACGACTCAGATCCTTCCTTGGGAAATAATTTCTCCCTGCTGTGGGGTTGAGAATGAAAATTACAGGCTGGAATACTGTTATTGTTATTGTTGTTGTTGTTGTTGTTGTGTATGTATGTGTATGTGCAATTTACAAGCTCTTTCCCACTTTTTAATCTCCATTTCCTATGAACTACAGAAAACAGGGTTGTTAGAAACAACCTGGGAGGAGGAGAAAAAAAACTTCAGGGAAAACACAAAGTTTATTGATCAACACTTCAAATCTTGTCCCCAGATACTTTTTGCATTTTGAAGGCAAGAAAAGTTAAACGTACTCAAAATCATGCAAGTACCAACACTTCCGGTCAAACATAGAGCAAGGATGTCACATCCAGTTGTTCCCTGTCTTTACTGAAAGGACAACTGGTTACGTGCTCTCCTCCAAAGCGCTCTCTCTGGTTCTCAGAAGCACTGTCAATAAGATGACTGCCTTGGGAGGAGGGGCTGCGGAGAGATGCCGAGTGAGCCTTAAGGCTTCACTTAGCCTCTTATCCACAGCAGCCCCTCTTCTTCTCTTGAACATATTGGGCTGTGGGTTAAAAATCATTTTGATATTCCCACCTTAAATGATCTAAGGCACTTCCAGCTCTTGGAGATTTTGACTCTTTGCTTGGAGATGGGGGCAGGGATACAGGCAGATTCCCAGAGAACCACTCCAGGCTCAGAATTTTGAGAATGTTGAGAATTTTCCCAGTGAATCTGCTTCTGACCTATGCAATTAGTACCAAGCTTTGGGGGATATGTCAGACTAATGGAATTTCTGGGCCCACCTTCAACTTTATTAGCTTTTTATGAATAGCAAAAATTCATTTACATCTGATACCACATCTGGTGGGTGTTATACAAGAATGACTATTCCCAAGCATAAAAAAGGGAGAGCAGGGGCTCAGATGCTCACGCTGAGTGGTTGGATGTTGTTCAATAGCTGCACATTAATGAAGTTAGACTGGTGCTTTCGTACCCAAAGCATTTGTACATGATGCCTTTATGTGATTTTTCCATTCAGAATACAGATGGAACCATCAGTGACCCTTGCTTTCACCCTGGATACCAGAGGAAAATGGTTTTAGCTGATCTGTATGAAAGTCCCTGCACCAGGAAATTTGAGACGTTTCTTCAATTTGATGAAATTATAATCCAAGGCACTGGGAATTATCAACAGTGCCAGCAAAGCATCCTTCAACTCTTTAACACCAGTTACTGCCCTTACTCCCACTGTGCCTTCGATGGGATTTTCTTGCCACCAGTCCAAGGGGATTTTGGGGTAAGTTTGTGCAATGGTGATATATTGGTCAGGATGATTTTTGTTGTGAATTACAGAATGTTTGCCTAAAAGAGTTTAAATAATAGGATTTATTTTTCTCTCACATGATAATAAGCCTTGATGTAGATAGTTCAAGGTTAGTTCTTTAGCTTAATGTCAGGATGTGGGATCAGCTTTTCAATTATTTTCTTGGCCTTGTGGTGCTAAGATGGCAGCTACTGCTCTAAGCGTCATGTCTTCACATGCAAAGCCAGTGCAGGAAAGAAGGAAGTTTATCTTGCATACATCTTTCTCCAACTTTGCAGAAGTGCTACCAAACATCTTTTCAGATGCCATTGGCCAGAATTTGGTAAAATGCACATCTCTAAACAAATCTGTGCTAAAGGGGAGTGGGTCACCACGGCTGGTTTAGACTAATTATTGTCCTTCCCCTGGAACGGGGGAGTCTTCTTGAGCAGGTTGCTCTCCTCTGTTGGGTAAAGTCAGGAATCTGTAAGTCAGAAGACAGGGGCTGGCTGCTGGGGAGGACACCCATCAGGATCTGCCACAGGTGGCTTCTCAGATGTCAGAAGAAGGAGAAACAGCAGTTAGATATCTTGGCTAAAGGTTTTCCTCTATAAAAACACTAAGGAAGTAGAAACTCAGGAAATCCCAAGGAAACAAAATGATAGCATCATTTTCATTACATCTTGAAGAGCTGGGGGGCAATTTGAATCCCAACTCCGAATTCCTTTTGTTCTCAATTATTCCAGAATAAGATAAAATATTTGAACAGAGGCAGAAGAGGTGCCCCTTGATCTACTCATTATTCAAATTTCAGATTTTGGTCCTGGAGACCAAGAATTACTGTAATCATAATTTAATCATATATTGCCAAATTAGCTACCATCAGTCAAATTCCAATTATTGACTGACATATACATATCTTACTTAGTCACTTAAGATATCATTCAAAGAAACTATGGGCTTTTGTCTGCCTTCACACTCTTTTCTCCCTTTTTCAGAAAATAGATCAGCATGTGAGGAAGGAAGTTCAACTCCCCTCTCAGACCCAGCAGAACAGTTTCTCCCAAGGTCTCCTGGCCCAGCCCACTGTCACAGAAAGAGCTTCCTGGAGAGAGCACAGGCCCTGCAGTAATCAGGCCTGGCTTAAACTCTGGCTTTGCCACTTGTGAACTATCTGGAGCTCTTCACTCCCTTGGTCTCTGGGAAGACAACAGTGGGTAGAATCATGGATCCTGGCTTACCTCAACCATGGCCCAGACTGCAGTTCCCCCTCCCCTCCAGTTTCCTGAGGGAAATACCTGACTGCACAATGACTGGCAGCATAATGCTTCATCATTAGTTGGCTCCAAACTCAAATTCACAACAAACTAGACTCTCGCCTGGATGTCCTATAGCTGAACTGGCATTGGCTGCCCATCTTGGGCTTTTTTGGGGCCAGACTCCTTGCCTTTCATCTGGCTGCTGGGAGAGAAAGTAGGGTGCCACAAAAGGGAGGGAGGTGGCCAGGGATTCTGGAAACAGCCAAGGGCCCTTTCAATTCCAGTCCTGCCAGGAAGTACATCTGAACGAAAAGGAATATATTATTTTGTGTTGACATTTTAACTTTTTTTAAACCTTTGCCTCCTGGAAGATAGGGCCCAATTCTTACCTTCTTGCTTGACAAACCCTTCTGACTTTGTGGGGTTGGGGGGGGTGGTGTAGAATTTCTTGCTTTTGAATATGATTCCCCCAATCAAGGTAGGAAGATGTAGAGCTGGAAAAGGGTGGAGGCGCCTTCAGCTCCCCCTCTGGTGGCTTTTCTTTTTGGTCCCATAGTTCCTGGTTGAAATTGTCCTCACAGCCTTCTGAACCTCAGTTTGGCAGTCTCCTTACATTAGCTCATTGCCTTCTTCTGTTGTGGAAAAATGTGTTACAGCTCAGTTGTGACAGCAACCTGGATTCGGGCGAGAGACCAAGTAGCACTCGGAGAGTTGGAGAACTCAGGTTTATTATGCCAGCGGGCCCAGAGGAGTTAACACTCCAAGCTCTGGACCCCGTCTGTAAGTTTACACAGGCCTTTGTAGGCTGCCAGTTTTACACTTTCCAACATCATATGCAAATAAAGTATAACAGAAGTTGACCAACCAGGAACAGCTTTGTAGGAATAGACCAATCAGGAGTGAGAGAAGTAACCAATCAGGAATGAAGGAAATAACCAATCAGAAGTGAGCTGAGGGAACCAATAGAATTTTAGGGGTAAGTAAGCCGTTTCAGAGGCAAAAAGTGAGATAGAGCCTCTGGGCCAGGGAACTGGATGAAGCTGGCATGAGAGTAGTGTCCCTGCTTGGGGGCCCTGCCAGTTTTTTATGGGGCTTCCCGCCTCACCTCTAAACAGGATCTTTCTTCTCTGAATATAGTCCTTGAGTCAGCACTATACCATTACCTATTCCTGCTTTGGCAGTTTCTTTCTTTTCCAAATATTTTTGGTCCCCTCCGTAATTTCTCCCTAAAGCCTAAAGATCTTTTTTTTGGGGGGGGGGGTTCTATTTCCTCATTTATAAAATGAGGACAGACATACTTATCTCATTGCTAGTTGTGAGTGATAAGCCAGACAAGCAGTGGTGGACTGGTAAATGTCTCACAACCAGCTCTCACACTGGAGGGGCTGATTTGTGGCAGTTGCTAATTTGCATGGTATGAGTACTCCCCCATGGCCTATTTTATGCTACCATCACTGGCTCACAAAACTCCTAAAGTTTTAGCAACTAGCTCTTATGAGTGGGCGTGGGAGCCCATGATTGGGTTAACAAATTGTAACAGACCCCAGCCGCCTGTCACCTTTAAGAAGAACAAATGTGTTTAGTAACTGCTTTGCAAGCAGGCGCCTGTGCATCCGCACTCCTGTCTCCTTGCCATAAAAAGCTGAGACAATGCCTTGCTTGCATAGTTGAGGTTTTAGATAGCACTCTGCTCATTTCAAAGCAACAACCCAGGCCCTCAGCTATAAACTACTGGGCGTGCCTGCTGTTAGATTGTCTGCTACCCCCAAAACAAGGAACTGGCTGATCTGGTGGTCTGCCTTGTAATTAACATATCTAAAGAATGTATCTTGTTCCCCCTCTCCCCATGACTTCCCTAAAGAGATAAACTAAGCCTTTATACTCATTGTGGATTCTGCAATCTCTATCTCATCCTGTCTTTCCCTAAGTTCCTGCATACCATCAAACAACTGTTAATGACTTTTTCCTTTGATTATACACAATTAATGTGGGAGCATTTGAGAGGCTCGTGGAGTTGGCTCCCGACTCTCTTTCGCTCTCTTGACTTTTTCCACAGAGTCTCGAGTAATTCATTCCGTCTCGGTGGGACTTCTGCCGGCCAGAACCCACAAGTGGGTAAGAGCCAGCTACAGCATATCACTGTAAATAGCAAAAAGGTAACATATCCTAGCACTTTAAAAGGTTAGTTCTTTCTCCTGACAAACAGTCCTCATTCTAGGCAGTCACTCTTGCAGGAAGTTCCTGTTGCCAATCTAGCATCTTGAAGTGTAACTATTTGCAACCCCAAAATCCAGTTGCATTCCCATTGTTTCCAGGACCAGTTAACCTGGTTATTCTCAAGCCACAAGGAATTTATGGGGAGGGAATTTGCCACAATTGCATTCAGTACTGATGATCTAATTCTTAATTTGTAAATAGAGTATTAAAAACTGTCAATACTCTTGTTGGTTTGGCTACACTGTGACTTTGGTTGCCAGACAGAATCCAATTTGTAGGCAAATCAGAAACACTGAAAAGGAAGAGGGAACATCTGTGGGGAATTACTACAAGGTAATTTAGGAATGTTTTAAAGATCACATTGTATCACTTATATAAACAATAAAGGGTATAAATAAATTCAATAGAACTGTGATGAAAGAACATTAAAATTTGTTTATATATGTATACGTGTATGTGTGTGTGTGTGTGTGTGTGTGTATTTAGTTCTGAGTGTCCTAGTAGCCAAGGGGAAGAAAAGATGTAATCAGATATATATTTTTTATTATACCCACCAAACAGGTCCTAGGGCAAAGCAAAGCTTTTCCAAAATTGAATCCCAAGGATGCTTTATTAGACAATATCTTTGACCTCATTTTTTAAAAATTGTAATTCTTATAGCAACTTTAATCTAGAAGCATAATATTAACAAGCAACTCAGTGATAACAATTCTGTGCTAGACTGAGGCAATAATGGTTTTTGATACTCAACTCGATAGAAAGAACTCAAAATAGCTAGAAGAAGGGAGAGACGTATGTCCTTAGAATCATCTTCCACAAATATTAACAGAGCTAGCAATTGAAAGATTAGGAGCTGATTCTGTGTTCTCTGAAGATGGCCTAAAGTGTTCCTATTCTGAGTTGCTACTTAAGTATGGGCCCACAAGGTATAGACAGCAACCAAGTAAAGCATTATAAAGTAACATTGATTCCTAATACGGAAATTAGGGAGCTGATCACAGATTTTCACCTCAGAGGTAGGGCATCCAACCTTCACCTAAAGGCAAAGTCAGGAAGTCCTAGAGCTGAGTCAGCACTTCCCTCAAGAACTGTCTTTGGTTCATTCTGGCAGAAGAACATCTGATGGATTGAGTCTCTAAAGTCCTACCCCAAGAATTGGATCGGGATGATTTTTTTTTTTCTGAAAAGACTTTTAGAGTCACCTACTACAGCCACAGGAAGAAACTTGGTGATGTGTCCTTAACCCATCTGATTTTGAGCAGTGTATCTTCCTGGGGCATTAAAAGAAGGTGGTTTTTGTCATTCAGTATAATTCTTGGGATTTAACATACTTGGGAAGCATTCTGAATAAGGTTAAAGTTTCTTTTCCTTTATACAATGTCCATAAATCAAGGAAAAAATATTACCCTGTCATCCTATCCCATCAACACTTTATTTTTCTGGGTTCAATTTCAGTGCATGTTGATTTAAGCAATATTCTATTCTAGAAGAGACTTTCCAAGGGATTTAAGAGGCCAG